ACATGTGTTTGCAAAGTTCAGTTCCTGAGGTGTAGTAAAATAAAATTACTCTGTACTAAATAAACAATAAACCTACTTCCAAAGAGTCCTATGTGTATTTGTGTTTCCTTCAGGAGGTAAATCTTAGATGTATAAAAGCTTTTCTTAACTATGCAGACAATAAATCTTCGAACTAATGATCTAAAAAAGTTTTTTATTTTTTGCTTCCAACGTATTAAAATACACCTGCAGCAGTGGTTATTTTACAGCTCCCAGCACATACAGTATAATGGAGGAACAAAGGAAGTTCTGACTGATGGTTACCGTTTTGTCCATTGGAGGAACTTTAAACTGAAAGAATGATTGGAGATGGTGTGAGTTGAACCCTTGTGTGTAATGGGGATAAGCATAGCCATATGACTGCATGGAAATCACATCATTAATATTATAGTGACTCAGGACTATGACTCTAGTATGTCAATAGACAATGTGGTGTACTGTTTTCCTTTCCCCCTTTTTTTCTCAGCTTTTATTCCAGGTCCAGTCATCACCTACTATAGAACACCAGACTGTGGATGAAAAATAATACTTTTGATTTTGTGGTCTTAGTACATTTGGAGGGCTCTGTATAATACGTGTGCATTTCTCTATATACATACTGTATGTAGTGTATATGCATATAGCAAGAGAAAGAAATACTGAATCCTGTAATGGACACATTTGAAACTACCTACACCTACAAGTGCAATTTTGTTTTTTAATTTTCGTGATAACTTTGCTATTGAACAAGATAAATTACCTACATTTTTAGAATGAATCAACCACAGGAGGGAGCTCCAGCTCTCTCTACAGGTTTACTACTGCATTCTGTATGCTCGTACAGGAAGAGGAATAAAACATACGCTTATAAAACATGCGTAGTTCTCTACTATTTATAAACCCAACTGCACAGCTAAATACATCATAAATGGGACACTAGTGTTTTAACATTATATAAGTTTTCCTTTAAATTAATGCTTACTTAATCATGATAAGATTTTTTGGTAAACTTAAATGGCAGAGCTACCACCTTGTAGCCTGATCTCAAATGCTAAGCCAGCCGGATCCTGGACAGCAGCGAGATGGAGGCCTCTAAGGAAAACCTGATTGCTGCTGTAGGTGGTGTTGGTAGACCAGTAGGAGGCGGTCTTCCCTCTGGACCAGAGTTTCAAAACCTGTCGCCCAGATGGTGACTGTGGGCACTGTGCTGTGTTGAGGAGGAGGTTTGGTCCCTCAGATGAGATATCAAGCAACAGTCATGACTAAATTAAAGATTCCTTGGCTGTTCATAAGAACAGGGGTGTCAATTCTGGTATTCTGGCTACTTCTTGTGTTATTGGAGCAATGTCTCAGTTTTTCACTCTCCATCGGGGGAGATCACCATCTGATTGGCTGTGTAGCAGGTTCAGAATGGCTGCCTTTGCTCACCCAGGTGAGGGCTGCATGAGGTCCCCCCATAGGTAAAAGTCTGGGATATTGCAAGATGAAAACCACTATATAAATTGTCAAGTGTTACAACAGTTATTCTGGGGAATATTTTCCAGACCTTTTGAGGATCCATGATACGTTTTAAGGGTTATAAATACCTTTCAAGATAAAATATACTTGCCTTTACAGACTTGTGAGAAGCCTGTAAATTGCAATTTGTGTCTTGAAGACTCATATCGAACAAGGGGCTCTGTGGACGTTCTCTCATACCTCATGTTACAGCGCTCATGGTGTTTTTGATGGTGCAAGTCAAGTCATTCTTCAGTGATTTTACAGCCAGGGTGGACTTTCATAGCCTTCAGAAGAAAAAAAACAAGAAATTACGTGAAGCACTTAGTGAAGAGACAACACATTTTCACTGTGATAACAAAAACTGCAGAATCCAACTGAAAGTCAATTAATTCCAAGTTAAAACTATGGAATAATACAGATAATAGTACATACTTATTGGCTACTGTAAGCACAAAACAGTTCTCAAACATCTCACAAGTCTGCTTCACTACATTTTAATCTGAGTGGGAACTTTAAATACACAACTGTGAAATACACGAAATAATTTGAAAAAGTGAATTCTCTACTGAACTAATCCACTTGACATTTTGGACCTGCAAATAGAGTGAAACATACAGTTTTCAATGGGTTTATCCCGTGGATGTGTTATTTATCTCGAGCCCCTCACTAGATGCACTTCTGTATTTTCTCCGGTCGATTGTAGCATTCTCCATGCTTGGTCCGCTCCAAGCCGCCCCGCCCGGCCCCCTCTCCTCCGAGAGAGAGACGCGGGGCAGCCGTCAGTCTGATTGATCCACGCGTCACTCTGGGTCTGTGCGCGCTTTTTGCGGAGATGACATTTATCGGCCGGCTGCAGTTCTGCGTTTGTACGGCTGGGAGGGCTGCAGTGGCCTGGTTATTTTTTCATTTTGATATTTCAACGGCTGCTTGAAATTTGGATTCCAAGGTTGGTATAAGTTCAGGCTGCCGGCATCGATTTCCGTCTATGGATAATGGACAATTATTCTATTATTAGTAGTAGGCATCGTGGTCGTACTTTCATCTGGTTAATTAACAAGAATAAAGACCCACAATAGACATATCGTATGCATAATGTAGTCATAAACAACTATAATTGGCAATAATCCTTTTTAATAAGCATTTATCAAATGCAGAGCAATATTTCAATTTCCACAGCTGTTTTTTTTTTACCGAAATGGACTCGCATTTTAATTTTGTGCTACACAATCTGTATATAGCGATATCTCTTCCAGCCTGCAGAATTCTTGCCTGATCAATTAAAAATGAGCTAACGACAGAATTACTGCCAACAAAATCTTAAGACAAAGCTTTAAAATAGATTGCAACAGCAATTAACGCTCAATTTAACATGGTGATTAAAAACAACTGACTTGCTGGAGTTGCAGCACAAGGATTTCATTTTATGAGTAGATATGTAATGCAATGATGTACTGGTATACAGTAGCAATCAACATACCAATTCTGTAGTGTATTGTACAGCTCATTTATTAATTTTTCATTTCTTAGATTGCATAGCTATTTGGGCATTTTTCAGTAGCTGAGATATTTACATATTGCTTGCTACTGCTTTTATTCATTGGTTTCCTATCTGCAAGTTATTAACAAGGACTCCACTCTGTTTGAACCCATAAATCTTTGCATGTCTCTTTGGATGATGCTTGTGCCATGTACAGAGAAATGAAGGAGATGAAGGGATCTAATGAAGCAGACAGGCAGAAGACGTCATCTGGCAATGAATGTCTCAACTCATGTATTCTTCTTGGTTGTGTATGAGTCTCTAACAGACTGCTGTCAAGAAGTTTTTTCTGCGTAATTTATTTTAAAAGTGCTTCATACTGGAATATATGCTGACACTGCCCTTCATCTCCACACTTGCTGGAGTGACAGACGACTCCAGGTGTGGTCAGAAAGCTGACATCTGTCTGTTTTGTGAACCGATCCCGCTGTCGGTCGCTGGAGGCCAGCCTCACCAGGTCCAGGTCCTGTGCTACACGGATAGGGGAGCTGCAGTGATTTCTGGCAATGTGTGTCACTGTGTCCGGTCCTATGCCTCCTATGCTTCATGTGCTGTAACATGTAATGACGAATGGAGATTTGATTTTTTTCTACACAGCAACAGGGATGAATAAAGGAGGGTTTGAGGACATTTAAGTTGAGACTGTATAAGTGGTGGAACTATTCCACCAGGTGGCAGCTGCAATCTGTATGACAGGAACCAACCTGCAGCAGAGTCAAGATGCACAATTTTTCTTTCTCCTCCTTCCTGCAATTTCGTCTCGCTGAATAGTGTGGAGTGAAAAGACAACAGCATTATCAGGTGATCATTTCACTCCTGTCGCACAAGGGCTGTTTGTGTTAAGAAGGTAATCAGATTTTTTGGCTTCAATAACAGATTATATCACCTAAACAGAGTTTGGGGGATTCTTAGTGTGTCTGAATGTATAGAAATAAAACAGATTTTGCTTGGAAGCTTAATCCATATTTACAGGGCTCATTTCAATATGTTTATTCTTATTCATATCTAGTCATTTTGAAGTATTGAGGTGATACAAGTTTAAAAGTCTCAGCCATAAGAAAAACTGCTGTATCTACAAAACCACTTTCATTCTGATTGGGAAAATAGTTTGGGGCTGTCTGGGGACTGTAAAGAAAAAATGTAAAAATAGTATTAATTGATTATAATGTAAAAATTCTAAAGCTACAATCCATCCCATGGGACACCTTTTAAGAAGAGGGCTGCTAACCCCAGTTTCTCGGCTTAACTCCACTCCGGACTTCTATAACATGGCCTCCCTACATTTCCCCCTTTAATAAATCGCTGAAGTGATTTCTCATTTCTCCACCTGATTAGATTTGTAATAGGACTGCTGGTGCGGAATGGCTTTCACGTATCACAGATGGGACAGCGCTTCCGTGTTACATAAGGTGGGTCCTCTCTTATATTTGAAGCTCTTTGGAATCCTTTGAAATGAAAAGCACAATGTGGAATTACTGTATAACGGAGATTATGATAGAAATCCAGGAGGAAGGTTAGATCCTTATCTTGCACGCTTCTGCTAGGCTATGTTTGTAAGTCTCGTACGCCTCCCACCACTTCAGCTACACCCCTGCAGCTACGCGCTCAATCCTCACAATACTGAGAGGTGGTCAGGACACCCTTCTGTCAGTACCCTCAGCCGGATGAGCTAGGCCAAATACAGTCTGCATACCTCATCCCTCTCTTGAATTTATCAGGATTTAACTGAATTACTGAAATGAACAGAAGAAAATCTTTTAAGGAAGAGCCACAGTTCTACACTGCTGTTCCAGGTCTGTAGGAGTTAATCCATAACAGAGATACTACTACTGATTGGAAATGTGAGCATTTTGGGGCATTTGGAGGGCAAACAGCTTGAGGATTACCTGTTCTAAATCCATTCATTTTTAACTGCTTCATTCAATTCAGGGTTGCAGGGGAGCCAGAGCCTACCAGTATGTTTTTGGACTGTGGGAGGAAACCAGTGAACCCAGCAAAAGCCCACACAAACACCAGGCAAACTTTCACACTACACACATAGCAACCCACATCTATAATTGAACCCAGGGCCCCAGCATTGGTTAGCAGCAATGCTAACCACTGCACTGCCCCGTTCTGGAATATTCTATCAAAATAAAATACCCGAAAAAGCCATTCAGTTACATGCTGATTAATAAACATCTTCAAAATATAATCCAATATTTTAGTTTAATGTGTTTTTCTAGCATAGACTTGCATTGTAATTAAACCTGCATGGGATAAAGGGCAAATGATTCAGTCACATGCTGATTAATAAGTGTCTTCAAAATATACTCCAATATTATAGTATAATGTGTTTTTTCTAAGTTACCTGTATATAGACTTGCATTGTAATTAAGCCTGCATGGGATAAATTGTGCTCATTAGCATATCATTCATCTTGATGTCAGCTTGCCCGATCAATTAAAGACGGCACCCCAGTCAGCTATGTGAAAAGTGAACTGCCTGTTGGCTGTTACGCCAAACAAAAACAAAGATAAGGCTGTAAAGGAGGTGATTCAGTGATTCAGTAATTAACTCAATTTTTCATGGTGATTCAAAGCAATTAATTCGTACTTCAGAAGTTTAAAAATAGAAACGAAAGGACCAGTTGTCAATCCCTAGCTGCGTTTAACTTTGTGCAGTCTGTTATTGCAACCAGGCCACAAGCCAAGCACTAGTTTCACTGAAAGGAAATTGCTTTGAGTGCGCGGCTTTGGTCTAGGTTTTCTACCTGTCACAGCAAACTCAAAACAGCTGCGGATGATGTTGTAAACGGCTTTGAACATGCAAGATCAAAGTGACCCAAGGAAGAAAACGATGAGTGAAATGAGAGTTGCCACTTGTGCTGAGTCCAGCGTTATCACCTGGCCTGATTACGGCATCTGTAAACTTGATCAACCCCGTCCTTGAGCACTTGTAGATGAATAAGGCTGTCCACTAATGTCAAGTCCTCCCAGAGGTGTCACATTTATTTAAGGCAGCTCTTGTCTTCTTACAGACAAGACCAAACACGAAGTGCTTTGTCGCTCTCCTGCGAGTGCCCAGCTCATACTGCCCGCCCAGATGTCCAACTCACTACTCCGGCACACCAGTCGCCTGCCACTCAAGACGTGAATGTTTGGATTGCGTTTGTGCAATTGGTTTTTGCATTGTCCATACTTGTACACTTTCCACTCCCCCTGCCAACACACTGACAGATAGGCACTGATGTCAATCACAGCACCAGGGCAGATGCTGTGGAGTGTCCCTGGACTTGAATCAATATGTCAGGCACCCGCAAATCCCCAACCCAACCTGCAGAGTCCAGCCATTGCCCCTAACACCCCCACCCCATTGTAATGTAGCATTGGTGGACAGCAATAGGCAGTGACAGTTTTACCCCAGATATGGATAAAGAAGCCTGGAGTCAAACTAGCTAGCAAAATTCTGTTGATTATTCATCGGGATTCTTACCATCCTCTGCATAAAATCTCCAGATTAATCAGCTACAGTATAATTACCAAATGAGCAATGTGGAAAAACTGACTACCTCTCGGATTTTAACTCTTTGATTGCAAATTTCAGCTTGAGGGGCCCAAAAGAAGTATTTAAAAAAAAATAAAACTGTGTTTTAGCCGTGGACATGGAAATGAATGTGAATAAACCACATGGGTGTTTCTCAGTTTGAATTAATATGTGTTAAAGAAATTCAACAAAACTAAAAAAAAAACAACAGAAAAGCTTCACTTCCTGAACACTGAAAATACACGGGGCATTTGCGTCATTAAATTTCTTCATTTTGTATGAGCTACAAAAATAATAATCTCTCACAGACCGATTTAGATTCAAATTAAGTGCATTTCATACTGCGCCAGGTCTTGCTTAAATTAGCTTCCATGGCAATAGCCCACCCTGGGCTCTGTCTCTCAGCAGCAGGCAGGAGAAACACAAAGCTGCAGCCAGTCACTCAGGGGCTGGGGAACAGCTTGGACAGCACACGGTCTCCTCTCCTACACACCCGCAGCACACTGAAGGCAAGGTGCTCCTGCAAGCTTCCTGCAAGCCTTATCTCTTGCTTTTAATTCTAAGGCTAACATTCAGCCCCAAATTGCTTTTGGATAAATTTTTATAAAACACTCAAGGGGTTTAAAACTCAGCTGCGGGGATGTTATGGTCAATTAAAATGGAATATGAACTCAATAAGCCTGAAACATTGCAAATCCAGGGCTTATTCGAAGTTCCCCATGATTATACAACGTGCTCCAATCTGGAAGTCTGGAATAATTATAAATAATTGCATTAATGTAGTGTTTTACACCCTAAAGTGTATAGTTAAGGACCTTTGTAAGGTCACTCTGTATCTGAAACAAGGTTATTTACTAATTTATGACTTTTTTGCTACGCTCCACTTACTTGAGAATGATACCTCTTCTCAGCAGCTTAGGGCTTATTCCACCTATGAAAAGCTAGTTCTTCAAAACTAAATATTTAGGTTTACTGAAAATACAGGACACTTCTCATGTCTGTGACCTAGTAGAGCAGGTGTTGTTTGTGCAGTGCAGATATCTGCAGTGTTTGTGATGCAGAGTGAAGGTGTTCTTCCCTTAGGTGTCTTTATAAATACATGCTGCATTGTTTGTCATAACATTTAAAGGAGCATGAATGTTCAGCTTAGTCATTGTATACATACTGTACAGGTGTGAATGAAAACTCTGGCTGGATGCCTGCCAATGAGATTGCCAAGTGCCGTTCCAGAGGGACTTGGGTGGTGCCCTTGTCATGTTTTGAACAGATCACAGATCATTCCCACTGGAAGCCATTCTGCAAGCTCGTAGTGCATATTAAAGAGCTGAGGAATCCTCCAGGAGTCCTCCTGGATTGACCAAAGTGTCCAGGGGTGGGTATTAGCAGCTTTCCCGAAGTGGAAAATAAAGGATTTCCTCCAAAGCTCTCTAGAATCCCCCCCAAAATATTTGTGTTTAAATTTCCTGGAAGATCAACCTAACACACTCATTTTGAGCTGCAGTCTGGTGATTCAGGGACTGTGTACAGGAGAGCTGAAAAAAAATTGAAAGCTCCCATTTTCATAGAGTCTATAAACTGTGAAAAACAGTCTTTCACTCGTATTGTACTGTATGTGGTGTGCAGTGATTTCAAACTGTGAAAATACCTTAAAAATAAGAAAATGAAATTAGGACGCATAAACTGAGAATTTCATGAATAGAAAATTGAGCATCTAACACACTGCAGGATGAGTTTTGAGCTTGTGTGATTTCATGCCCCTGCTTGTTTTTTTTTAGGCTAATATTGCAATTTGATTTGTTTTGGATCTGGAGTGCTGTTCTCCAGTGCTTTTCGTGACAGCCAAAATAGTTTGATATGTTCTGATTTGGTTACTGCCTGCACATGTGCGTGATGGATTCTGAAAGGAGCCCACGGGCTGTGGAGATACCATAGGCGTGGGAGTCGCAAATCTAGGGCGAGGTGAAGGGAATTTGTCATCGGGGAATTCTTGCAAACGGAGAGGAGGAGAAGGCTGGGGGCTGATTTGCAGCTCCTGCAGCACCTCTGGTGTCCTCCTGCAGCTCAGCCTGTTTTATCGGGTTGGTAAATGTTTAATGAAACCGTTCCATGCCTATTACTCAAATCGATTGGATACGTGTGTTCTATTTACGTTTTCAGAAAGAAGCCTCGAAAGGTTTGTGTGTTTTGCTTTCTGTGTGTGTGTGGTGGGAGGGAGATCCACAGAGTAAGCAAAAGACCCATCTAGGGAACAGTGAGGAGCAGCCCATCTCAGAGAATGAACCCCCCCCCCCACCTGGTAGGACCCCTTTACCTGTTTCTGCCCCATCTATCCAGCAGTCAGTGTGCCAGTGACACCACAGGACAAACAGGCAATGTTTTATTCAGGCGGGGGCGCCAGGACAAGGACTCGGGCTTTTAATCATCGATTTTCATGGAGGAGCCCTCAGCGTGGGAAACGTGACTTGGCCTTGATTAGCATTCAGCAGCCGGCTCCCCTGCCCCCACCCCACTGCTTGTGAGCCTGCGCCCGAAGAATGCTGATGATCCTGCCTGGGGAAAAAGAGCAAAAAAAACAGGAGCGCTTCTATTACGCGCAATAACCCGAGTAATCCCCAGGAGCATCACTAGAGTGAGACGGGGAAGTGAGGAGCATTTTGTTGCTCTGGGCCACAGGCATTGTACAGTGTTAAACTCCAGCCACCCAGGCAGGGCTCAGTCCCAAGCACTTCACTGCACAACCCATTTTTTTCTTGGCATTTTTCATACTGCACCCAACCGACGTGGGGGCTCAACTTGTTTGCTTCCAAACCATCTCGCAATTCCCATTCCGCCCGGAGAGAAAGAGGGAGTGCGGCATGCTCCTCTGTCCCATCAGTGGTGCGGGCTCCATGGTGTCCCGTGGGAGGGATAGTGTGCTGGTTAGAGAAGCAGTGAATCCTTCACTCATGTTGCTGCAGGTCTGCAGGGAAGCAGCATGAATCACTGGTTGCTGGAATCCCAAGGAAGTCCTGACCAGCTAATCCCTAGCCTACTCACGCGACACTGGCTGCCAGCTGCGTGTCACTACTGGGAGGATACCAATCACAGTGTGCTCAGGACTGCCAGCCTGTTCTGAGAGAGAGAGTGTCTTTACTGGCTGAGCCACTCAGCCAGGTGCCCTGGCATATTCCCATTTGAGCCCATGATCTTTAGTGTTCTGGGCTCCCTGAATGAAGGCCCCTTTGCTTATAATTCATTACAGGGAGGCTGGATTTCGAGGGAGAAAACAAAAGATATGTGTCACACCCTCTACACCTAGAGGGCACTCTACTTCTGTCCTGTTCCGAGTTCTCTGTGATTATTCATGTCTTTCCGGTGTGTCTTGTTGTGTAGGCTATTTACTTCCTGTGTCTGCTCTGCTCCTGGCTCAGCGTTGAGGGTACAGATCAACCAGGTCACTCCTGTCCGTGGCCTGAGGGCATTGGTTTCTTTACCAACATCGCCTGACCCCCTGAGCCTGGGCTAACCCCAGTGTTGCCCCTTTTACTGCTACGCATAGGGTCTCTACTGCTCTCCTTGTCATTCCATGGCTTGCCTTTCCGACATCCTTATGGGATATGGGAGTTTTCAGGACAGAAAAGGGTTGAGCACTCCTAAAGAGAAGAAACACTGTATAGTGAATAAGCCCCAGACAAATGTAGTCCTTTTACAATATTTCTTTTGTGAATGTGAGATGAAGTCCTTAGGCTCAGAATTAATATACATGATGTTATTATTTTCCTGTCTTACAATCAGCACTCTAATGAAGCAAGCTTGAAAACATTGTTAAGGTGACATACACTCTGGAACACAACCTCCACCAATTAAAAATACAGACTAAGCATGCCTGCACAAGTCAGATACAGTACACAACAGGAACTCAAATGTACAAGGAGTTGTCGACACGGAACACAGCCTGCAGGGCTGCAACACTGTGGATGCTTCGTCTCTCTACACACTTCATTTCTTTACAGCTGTAAATGGGTCTGCTGTCTCTGCAGCCCTGCGAGTTAAAGCAGGTTATTCCCAAGGCTAAGGCATTATTATTAAAGAAGAAAAGACACTGATTTATATTTCAAAGATATGATTTCTGCAGAAATGGAGATGTACTTTAGCATATGTGTGCTTTGTTCTAATCAGTGTTAACTCCAGGGGATTGTATCTTGAAGAGAGGCTCATTCAAAATCAGATAAAGTTGTATGTACATAATTTATAAAAAATGATTAAAAGAAAGGAATTCTTGAGTGTCTCAGCGAGTAGAGGTATACAGTCTATATATTGATACATCAACCGGTTCAGGTCTGGACATTATCCTAGGCTCACTGTGATGGCCCAACCATGTCACTTTGTTTGCGTAGGCTGTCAACCAGGGTATTCTCAGCCCATTGCTCAACAGAGCCCCAACACCCTTTGAACTTTGATGTGTGAGCCACCAGTGTTGTCAGTGAGAGCTGCATCACTTCATCTCTTTTAAGCAGTGGGATTCCACCCATCATCAGAAAAGGCTTTTATCCTAATAAGTGTCTCCAGACGTCTAGGGTGGAAATCTGGATTGAGATTGTGGAGCTGCTCATCCCATGAATTGAATACTGGTCCATCGCAAGGCCAGTAGAACAGCCAATCAAATCCAACCTGCAGGAGAGGGGAGAAACCAGAGATCTTAGAAGAAACCCCTGCCAGACTGTAGGAGAAAGCACACACAATTCTGTACGTTTCACTACATGTGATAACCAGCTGAAGGCAGACATGAGCGCACCTCTGCCAAGAATGTGTACATGTGTCCACAGTCCATCTTCAACATATCAGCACGCAGCTGTGTAAACAAAGCTGTGTTGATGGAAAAAAAAAAACAGTAATAAATAAAATAGAGTCCCGATTGAAATGAGCAGCTGGAAAGACTGTAAAAGCAGCCTTAATTAAATGCTGTGGGACCTTATAGTTAATGAAAATCTTTTCTGTGTAATTAAGGTTCTTAAACTTTGCCTACAGAACAAGCCGATTTCACCAACCAACTTTATTTCTGCTATTTTGACCTGTTTAATACCTCATGTTCTCTAGTACTATACGTTTACAGCCCGTGGCTGATTGAGTTAATGGGATAAAAAATAAGGATTGAAGCCAGGATCACTGGAGCTGCATTGAGCAGGTGTTGTGCAAAGCCGATCAGGATCCTGTTAATGCAGCTGAGCCCTGGAGTATTTAGGACTGCGAGTTTCAGGATGACTCCCAGGTACTGTGCGGACATTGTGGCCAATAAATCAATTGCCTACCGCGTGCACATTAATTTTCCATCAGTAATATCTCAGCAATCAACAACAATTAAAACCGTGAAGCAGCTCAACCTATCTCAGCCTGCCAGCACACTGAGTAATAATGAGGGTGCAACCTTTGAACCGCATAATCATTTACTGCCTGCTGTCAGCCACTGCACTAACGCAGCAAAATGCTCAAGCACCTCCTAACAGGATTCTGCAGAATTTACTTGAGCGGGGATTAAGCTGAAGAAAAAAAATCCTGCATTTGGGGACTAGGGGGGTTACAGATGTATCAAATCTGTTTTGGGCATTAGCACAGTTTAAGGTGATTTAATAGATTATCCAAAAGAAAATAAATATGTAAAGGGATTATAAAAATGCACACTCAACAACTATGTGCTGAAGGGGAAGAAAATTCCTCTGTCAATACCTGGAGGCCCTGAAATAGCAAGATAGAGGAGGCTGAGTCTTGTCAGCACAGGGTGACGTGGGTTTTTAAATCCAGAACACATACACTACTCGTGATGTCTTAATGACACCATGTGAGTTAGAGAGAGGTAGATTCGGGGTGAGAAATCATAAAGAGAAGTGGATTCAAAAATATTTTGCAGAGCGACAGTCCTCAACTGTATTGAGCAACTTAACAAACACAAAGGAGCGAAAATGGAATCACTTTTAGCATAAACAAAAAAACCTTCACAATGCCCAGTTCTTCTGCAGGCATGTAATCAATATGCACTCAACTGTTTTACAGTCTGTTTTGTTAGTATCATATCTCAAAATACTCTTTAAGTTGCGAGGTGGAAACAAATCCATAGTAAAGGCCTAAACAAAAATAATGAGTAGTTAATTAAGCATGTATCATACTGTATATGTACATGCTTAATAAAAAGTACATGTACCAAAAACTGTACTGTAATTTAAATATAGAATTACCTATAGAAACACCAGGTTGTAACTATAAAAATATCTGAAATAACCCTAAAGTAAGACAATGCCTCTTTACATAATTCAATACATTGTGAATATATTCTGAATATAAGTCACAGGCAATTTTTTCTTACTTAGTAACACCCAATACAGCATTTTTTCCTTATAGTTCAGGTGGGTAGCTGCGTCAGCATGTGTAGGCTGCAAAGGAACAAGTAATAGGTTTATATCATGCTGAAAAGAGAAGAGAGAAAACACAACATGTGGGCACCTGAAGAAGGCTTCACAGCCGAAACGTTATGTTTTCTTTCTTCTCTTTTCAGCATGGAATAAACCTACAGTATTACTTGTCCATTTCTTCCTTATGCTGTACTGGAGTTTCATTTAACATTCCAGATCAGTGGCTTCTAAACCTGTTCCTACAGGAACACTGTCTTCTGGCTTTTGCTTCAAGTTCTCAATCACAGGCTAATGTGAAATCAATTCAGGTTTCTGTCTGGAGCGTATTTGTAAATTAAGCTCTTAAAGAGTCAAATAGAATTTGTAATTGGTATCGTCCCTGTACCAATTTCCGAGTTTCATAACTGCCCACATGCAGGTGTGTTGCCTGAAATCTAACAAATGGGATCTCTGTAGAAGGAACCCTCTGTGTCAATTCCACCTGTGTCTGTTCATCGTGAATTGGTCAACTTGTAAAAGCTGTTCAGTCAGAAATAATGGCAAACAAGCTAACTATTGAAGAATCAGTTGTTCTACAGAAAAAAATCAATAGCTTCTTTACTCATCCAACAAGCTTTCGAGGACAATTATTATGACTCTTTGAATTGTACAGTAGCTGTGACTGCTTATAGGTTTGTTGCAAATACACATTTGTTTGGAGGTAATAATTGAAAAACTGCTTAAAGAGATCAGCTTATGTTTTCCTAAGCACTTTGTTTTCGCTTTCCCCTTCTCAGGTTCTTCATCCCAAATTCTGCTTTGATTGGCGTGGCTTTTGTCTGTTACTGCTGTGAGCTACTGCCCTGTGTAAACACATTAGCTTTGTATGGAGTTATTACTTTTCTGTTTCTACTATGTACTTGCATTTCTGACTTTACCTGTCCAGTGACAAATAATACAGATTAATTTACATCTGAATTTGGGTGCAATGCTTCCATGGCTTAGTGTTAAAAGGCAGCTTCTGTTTTAACAACAAATGACTCTTCTCATTATCTGCGCATTGACTCCTTTCAGGTTCAGTGACCTGCCAGCTCAAGTGATGAACTCAATTTCAAATGGAATTTTAAAAAAAGGGGGTTGAAACAGCACGCCTCTTTGTAGAAGGCCCACTGATCCTACAAAGCCTGGCCACATTAAAATGAGAACTGCCAATTTCCAGCAGCATGTCCTTGCTGTTAGGAATCCCTGCTGGATAGATACGAGGATCCTGCGCAGACGCAGGAGTGAGTAGTTGACCAGGCAGGCGAACAATCCAATACGACAGGCGAGTACGGTGTCCAAAGGAAAAGGGTGTATCAGAAACCAGGAAGGGTGATAGAAGCAAACAATCCGAAGCCAGAGACAAGGTCGTGGTCAAAAGGGGTAAAGTACAGTAAGTCGTAATCCGGGGAGAACACAGGAGGCAAACAGTCCGAGACGAGAGGCGAGGTCCAAAGTCAAAAAGGCAGAAGGGGAGTCCAGAATCCAGAATAAACGACAGGTAGAGCTCTCAAGGAGTAGACTCAATAACGAGCAACGGGAAGCAGGTTAGGATGGTGTAAATATCACTTGTTAATAATAACCCGCTGCTGTTGCTGATTAGATCGCTTAAGAGTTGGTCTCTGCTGGCTGGCGGTCGTGACACTTGCCTGTGGCATATTCAGCAGCCTTGATCCCAAGTGTCCATGTCAGACTCTACATGACACACAGGGAGAGCAGTGGGTCTGTGTTTCAGGTCATCTCCTCTGCATTCCCTTTTAGCCTCTCACTTAAGTATGTCAGGGCTTTATATTTCTGGGGTACAGAGGTCTGAATTTACTAGATTAAGCCTATAGATGAGGTTCTTCATGCGGCAGCTCCGATTGCATTTTCACAGGGTACTGCAAATCACAGCTGCACACTGTGTGGCAAGTGGCACAGCCAGTTGGCACCCCTGCTTGCAAGGCTGCCACCAGTGCCCTGGCCTTATCTGCAGAGAACACAAATACACTGCTGGTTGCAGGCTGGCTACTTCTTGTATATCAGAACAGTCCCAGCCCCAAGCACAGATATTGAGTTCATGTGGTTTCAAGTGTACAAAGCAGGTACAGCTATGCACTCAGGGAATGTGCTACAAAGCAAAAGAAACACAACCCCAAATATTTCAGCGACTACTGTATGTTTTTAGACGTGGAACTGAGTCAGTCATTTCATTTCATTTTGAGATGCAGGGGTGGAAGACTTCATCATGCCAGGATTGAACATATTATTCTTTTCTTCACAAATACAAAAGCTACAACATAAAATAAACATAAAGCTATTTTTTAAGGAATAAGGCAGGGTTTTTCAAAATTGTCCTGCAAGAAGGTCCTTTTGTAAAATACCCTCTCAATCGGGACTCCCAAATAAAAAAAGTCAAATGCAAATATGAAATTATTGTAAATAACGTGCATTCTTTATGACATTAAAAGCATAATTACAGATCATCAAACCCCCTATGTGAGTCTGAGAGATTACACCAAGGGGATGCCTTGCACAGGGATAGAACCTGAAAGCTGGAAACCTCTGTCTCTGTTTCTGAAACAGCCTTTGAATGTACAGTACTGATCAAATTCTGTATGCATGATTTATTTTTATTGTTACATAGCCATTTTTGTACTTTTTCAGGATTGGAGTCCCAGATTTACTTCAAGTGCTCCTTTATCTCTACTGAGAATCTGGCCTTGGTTTCTCTCGTGCCCGATCTTCCAACAATGCCAGAGCTGGCCCAATCGCAAATCCCATCAGTACTGAACCGAGAACAAATGGCTTCTCTACTATCAAGAAGCTTGAGCAGGCTTCCAGAAGAGCCTGGCACTGCCCTTCAGTTTGCTCCCTCCAGTGGTATGGTGGTTCTTACTGCTACCTCACAGACCCTAGGTTCTGAGTCTTTTTCTGGGATTGCTTTTTGTCAAAAGCTTGGTTTTTACTCCCATTTCTCAAGAAGATGGAGATTACATTTTATTGGCTATTGCTGAATGACTTCCTAGAATTTGGCTCCTGATCCCCCTTAACTAACTGGCTGTGCATAGTATATGTTGAAAAAAGTGTCTGTGGCAAGTGTTCTTAAACCTGGAGATGAAGACCCATATACCTGCTGTTTTTTGTTCCATCTGGGCTCTCAGTTACACAATTGTGTAACTGAATGTGTAATTGACTTATTAGTAAGATTAATTTGAACTGTTTGTCTTCAACTCTTAAATATGTTGGAAGTTGTCATTTAGCTATTGT